TCGAGGTGTATCTCAAAGGCGAGCTCGATTATTCCAAAATATCTGGGCCGACTGGGCCTCTAGTGTACGCCCTTTTCTTCCTGTCTCTTGTTCTCATCGTTTACCCTGCCTAGATACCCTGCTGGCCACCTGCGCCTGCACACTCTCTTACACACTCTTACTGATGGTGGACTTCCATTTTCCGTGCTCAGAACATATACGCGGGCCTCTACCTATGCACTCTCGTTCTCACCTGCGCCATATATCGTCGAGCCCAAGTGCCAAACGGGGTGCTACTTTTGCTGCCACTGAGCAAGAGGCTGCACTCGGTCTTCATGTTGCGGTTGTTTAATGACGGATGGGCAGTGGCGCTACTACACGCAGCTGTACTGAGTTTGCAATATGGGATGGACGATACGGCCGTGTTACTTTTCAGGTGTGTCTACTTAGTCCCAACGTCTTCTACGATGTATTGACACGCTCCACACAGCGCAGCCCTCTCAGTCAAAATGTCTGTCCTGCTTTCCCTCCCTGCCCTTCTGCTCGTCCTCGTGAAAAGGAGCGGCGCGGCCCGCACACTGCGGCTGCTCTTCACGCTCCTCTCGCTGCAGGCCCTCCTCGCTTGGCCGTTCCTCGAGCACGCACCCCTTGCCTACATATCCAGCGCATTCGACCTTGCGCGTGTGTTCGAGTTCCGCTGGACGGTCAACTGGCGCATGCTCGGCGAGGACCTGTTCCTAGACAAGCGTTGGGCGCGCGGGCTGATGCTGGGTCACATGGGTGCACTGCTGCTGTTCGCGCAGAGGTGGTGCAGACGCGAGGGTGGCGTGCTGGGGATGGCGAGGCGCGTGCTGAGAACCCCATGGAGGCCCGCAGGCGTGGGCGTGGTCGATGCTGATTGTGAGTGTTTTTCGCATGTTGGACGCGCGGATGGGCTGAAGCTGGTATTTGGTGTAGATATCGCAACGGTCATGTTTACTTGCAACCTCATCGGAATCCTGTTTGCCCGCTCGCTGCATTACCAATTTTACTCGTGGTATGCACAGCAGATCCCCCTCCTCGCATGGCGGACGCGGTACCCCATACCTGTCAAGTGCGTTTTCCCTGCTATGTATTGTTCTGTGCTGACCACCTATCATCTATGATGAATAGATTGATATTAATAGCACTGATCGAATATGCATGGAACGTGTTCCCGTCAACCAACATCTCGTCATGCGTGCTCCTTGGTGCGAACGCCACGCTATTACTTGGCGTGTGGGGCGGATACCCTACTGGACGTTCGGTGTAAATTCGTGAGAATAGTGGTATTTATTTACTCTGCTTAGTGCGAGCGATCACACCTGCATGTGCTGGCTCTCCGTATTGTATGGTTACTCATGCTAAGTTGGATAGCAAAATAGTGATTGTATTGCTACCCCAGACTCGGGCCTGACACAAGATGGAGACGATTAGGCAAGTGCCAGTGGAGGTTCTGTGATGGTGTAGGCCTATTTGCTAGGTGGCGCATTGATCCAGTGGCCCCTCGATTATCCCTGGCTGAGCTATATGTTTCACTTTGAGAGGTTCCTGCGATCCGTACGCGGAGGGTGATACGTTAATTCTCAACAATCTTACCGCCGTGTAGTATGTAATCTCTTGAGACTTTCCGGAGCAGCTGCACGTCCCATCTTCTGGATAAATATTATATACATGTGTAAGTCCAAGAACAATTTCCAAAACACCCGAGCAGACCCATCCCAGATTCTCAGTCGCGCTCCCTGTCAGCCAACCATCCATAGCATGCGAGTCGAATCCAGCCACCTAATCTTACACTGGCTCCGGTTTAATATACAAGCCCTGCCCGCCGCCGTCGACAGTCAGATCACTAGCACCAGGCAATACTTCGAACCTCTCAGCTCTACCGCACGTAGTGGTATCCTTCTGCCACGCCTGCCCATGTGCAAGTCGTGCGATGATCAAATACCCTGATATTTGCTTCGCAAAGTCAGCCTCCACCGAACGGAGCTACAAGACGCTAGGCTCACCTGTATAGGAGCGGGCGGGCTCACAAACAACCAATACGTCGGGCTATTCACCGTATGTGTAATCAGGCACGTAGCTCCAATGATCGAGTACGCCGCGGAGGACTCGATCATCATTGTGATGAGGGATGTGTATGCCCCCGTGTGTTCACGGACAAGGCTTGTGGGGATGCTGCGTCTGTGTGCGATGAGGCGGACGAGGATGGAGACGGTGAGGACGACGTGGGTGATGAGGATGAGCCAGTAATAGGCGGAGCCCCAGGCGAGGCTATGCGCCCCCCCGAGGAGTGCGACGTGTGAGGTTGGGTGTGCGAGGGTGATGAGGAAGGTCACCCCAGCAGCGAGGGAAGCAAGTATCGTGACGAGTGGAAGGAGGATAATTATGTATGCTATGCACCGGCCAACGGAGAACCATACCACCCAGCAGCGCCAGATCTCCAAAGCTAAATCAATTGCACGCCCTCGAGTCAAGTTAAGCACTGAGTACACACCATAAACAGCTCGGACAAGAACAATAACGCTAGCTCGGCAGCTGTGCTCAGCAAATTGACCATTCCGCCACTAGTCTGCTCCTGGTACGCCCACGGGCCCCCAGGGAAATTTTTATTATCCACGAACATGAGCTCCACGCGATGTGCTTGTGCAACCAGCATGGTACTTGATAGAGCGAACAACAACGTCATGTATGGGAGCATAAGGGCATAGATACGCCGTATTTTGCGCTGGCGCCAGAGGTAGATAGTGCAGGTGAAATACAGCACTACTTGGATACCTGCATTCTATCAATCTCAAGTAGGTGGGGCGAGAGGAGAGGGCATACCATATCCAACAGCCGAGACGAAGTTACCGGCAAGAAAGTAGCGCTCAAGGATAAGTTCAGCTGCAGATTCTTGTGGTCCCATTTGCGGCGCCATGCAAGATGGATTTTGGAATTACAGGACGTCGGATGCGACGGGATTTATACCTCTGCCGTTCGTCTGATCAGAGCATGGCTGATGAAAAAATTGCGGACGAAGTTCAATCTTCCAGGAGAACCGTGTAGCCCTGATGATTCACCCCGTTTCAATCAAGATACGATGATTATACTCACACCCAACTACAGGGGATGTGGCAATTCCAGGGTATCCTATCTACCCCCAGGTCCCCACCGTAGGATCTGCGCCCAATCAAGAGATCCGCGCTGCGGTATATGTATACCCAAGGCTCGATGCTGCCGATTGAGTGTGGGGTGTGGCATGCGTATATCCACAAAAAGGCTGTTCTGCGGGGCCTTTCATGGTCGGATCAGTGTTGGCGCGGCACGGTGCACCACTCCAACGAGTCCGGCCGCGATGCTATCATCCAGAAGCTGTTATTGGAGCTCAAGCTGTGATGCATCAATCACCACACCCACGGTGGAGCGTAGGCGCCCGGTGATGATTTAAATTTATTGTCGAAATGTGGGTTGTTGGGTGTTGGACTTTGATCCGTGTGTCCCATCAAGAAGCACAGCGCGCCAGGGGAACCATCGAGAAGGCAAATACTCTTTGAAAAGGTGTGACGTTGTCATTGAAAACATTTGTGGATCGCCTTTGTCGGTTGCCGGCGGGATCTAGCTGTACGTAAAATCTGAGCTTGGTCTCCCTCCCGCCCCCCTTCTCTGCACGTGCCGGGGGAGACCCCTTTGCGCGTTGAATCTCAAGAACAGGGTGGATATCTTCTTCTAGCCCGACGCGAATCTCCCCCAAAACACAAGATACCACGCCTTCCTCAACCACGCCCTCAAATTGATCACCTGCCGCCCCACTGTCGCAGATGATCATAAGCCATCAAGCACGGGCGTGGTACATAGTGGCCTCAGATATGACATAGGAGACGCTAATTTTGCACACGGGACGATTGAATGCGTGCGGGCGGCGCTGCTATCAACGGAGCCCCTGTGTTGGTGTAGGACAGCTCGTTAGTGGCGCATGGGCTGGAGAAGCTCTGGTATGTTGCGTTTCGAAGGGACATTGTTAGATGCAAGTATCATATGAACAGTTTGAATGTATGACTGATGAGCCTATCGCAACTTGAAATGTCTGCCGCTCAGTGGTTGTTGGAGGGAGCAAAAAGCCGCGGTATACCACGCGCGAGCCTGACTGAGAATGTGGTGAGCATGCAGAAAATATAGCGGGTGAAAACGACGCACTGGGAATGGCTCAACAAAAGGTCACTCCCGCCAACACACATGCACGAGAATCCGCCCACCCTCCACGCTTCGCCCACCGCAGGCCGACTAGCTCAGCTGGTTAGAGCGTCGTGCTAATAACGCGAAGGTCTTGGGTTCGATCCCCACGTTGGCCATGCATGCTCTAATTCTCGTGCCCTTTTTGCGCTCTGACGCAGACGTCGGCCGTGCGCGTGAATGATACCAGTGGGCTGGATCGCGAAGATCCACGAGCGTTTACGGCTTGTAGTTTTGCCTCGGGCTCACTTGGCCGTCCGAGTCGTATGTTGAATGCGGGCATCTACTCGTCCGATCTAGGCTAGCGCTGCCCGCTGTGATTCAAGCTGACGTCAAGCAAGATTCAGCATCCCAAGCCACGGCGGCAGGTGCCCGGCGGTCTGACATGGCTACATAGCGGGTCCAAATCTCCGAATCAAGCTGGCGGGGTCCAGACCTATGACGATTGGTGGGGGATGGGCAAGCCCGATCGATTATCACTCGCGAATGGACGGGGGTGATCCCAGTCGCGTTGCGCTTGGTCCACGTGGTCATAAGGACACTGCCTATCGACGCGGACCCAGGCCGATGACCCTGTGATGTTAACAGCCGGCTACGACTACGCGCAGTGCCGTTGTTGATTCTCGAGCCGCGGGTGGAGTAGCCACCAGTCGCGTGGGGCGGCTGGAATGTGCGCCGGGAACCGGTATCGAGGCTCGAGATGCGGGGCAGTCAGCCCATTGGCAGGCTCGGGTTGCAATCCCAGGACTATGCGGCCTTGAGATACGGAAAAACAAAAAGGAAGCAAAAAGCGTCACCTGAGCGATTCGAACACTCGCGGTCAAAGACCAACCGCTGTACTATGAGAATAGCAGGCGATCCCGTTAACCACTCCGGCAAAGTGACTATGAAAGGGCAGCTGAGGCGGGGTTTGTGCTGTGTTTGCAAGCCGACTATGCTGCCGGCATCAGCTGTTGATCGCCATGATTCCGGTCGGCGGACTTGCGCGTACATACAGCAATACGATGAATGTGTCTATTCGGATGTATAACAGGTTTCAAGTATATCCCGGAACACCGCATCGGTTTGCCGCGGCACGCACGCGTCTTACTCAGAGACCCAAAAATGGCACGATGAGCCATCCGACTACACGGAGGTGTCTTGGTAAAACGCGATCAGCGATCACATCAGCAGCTGGTGATGACTTGGGGTGACTCGGGGGGCGGTCACACGGGCGAGTCATGGACGCGTGGGCGCGGGTGTTGCTGTCAATATCAGATGTTGGGCAGGCGGCTGGATGTGGATACGCGATTGATCCATGTTGAGCTTGGTTTTGGGGGGTAGACTGCCAGGCAAATGAGAAATAAGAGACAAAGGAGGCCTAGGGAAAGGGGTAAGGAGTAGAATGGTCTCGATGGATTCACACACTATGGCGAGTCAATGGAAGGTTGCATTAATGACAATGGAGCGGGGAGTGATAGAGTGTGACAGGGGGGCGTGAGAAACGGGGTGTGACCATAGAATTCCAATTGCAGCGTTGCATTGTGTGGTGCTTTACCGCCACTTAAATGTCCCTCCTTTTCTTTTTTTCTTGAAATCCAATGTCTCCTCCCCGCAGAGCCGCTGCAATGCTCGCTCCCCCCATCGACATCCCCGATTCCGCCATCCGTGCTGTTCCCCAGCTCCCCAAGCAGAGCACCCTCAAACGACGCTCAAAGCCAGCGTCTCGTCGCCCCCAGCCCTACAGCTCGAGCACACCCCATCCATTCGACCACCTGCCGTGGATATCCGCTCTCGACGCACCCCCAGACAGGGTTTGCGACATTGCAGACCTCTCACAGCTCCCTGGCCCCGGCCCGGTGCGTAGACGCAAGGTCTCGCTCCGCACGAGCCCCCTGGCCCCTCCGCAGCCAAATCTTCTTTTCCGCATGCTCACTCCACCCCCATCCCCGTCCTCATCGTCCAATTCCACCCTACCCAGTACTCCCCAGCGACCCCGCCTTATCCCCTCTCGCGTTCTTTTCCGCCACCTCATGCCCCTATCCCCGCCCCACCCCTCTACCCCCTCCGGCCTCTTACGACCCTCACTCTGACCCATCCAACCCTTTCTTCCTATCATGTCATCACTATCTAGCCTATCAGCACCCCAATCTCTGTCCAAGGGTCGCCTATCGCCCGCCATCATACCATGCAATTTAGTATTCGTCCACCCATCCACACCCGCCTATCCCCACCGCTTCCCTTCGCGAACTCCGTTCGCACCCTCTCCCCCCTCCCGTGCCTGCACTAGCGCTAGTCTCAGGCCCTTTTTTCTACTTCGCCTTCCATTTCGGACCTTCCATTTGTATTCAGGCAACAGTCTGCCTGCCCACCCTCCTTGCCTTTTTCTGTATGTACCATCCTGCTTTCGGTATTCCGCTCTAGCCCGGGCTGTACCATCATCCAATGTATATCTGCGCCGCTCCAAATGCTCCTCTCCCATCCCACATATATAATTACAATGTACATGACTCCAAATGATTAGATATATTTAAAACTGCGCCCGGCCATGTCATATCCGATTATCGCTTCTTCCATCACACTCCCATGCCCACACACCGAGTCACAAACTTTGGCGCAGGCCCCTCTGCGCTCCCCGCGACTGTCCTCGAGGAGGCAGCGCGCGGCCTCCTCAACTTTAACAACACCGGCATCGGCATCGCCGAAATCTCGCATCGCTCAAAGGACTTTGTTGCCTTTATCGCAGAGGTGCAGGAGCACGTGCGCACACAGCTCGAGGTGCCCCCTACCCACGAAATCCTGCTCACACAGGGCGGCGGGACCACCCAGTTCGCCGCGGTCGTGCTCAACATGCTCGCGCGGCACCGCCTGCTGCACCCCGACGTCCCAGAGGAGGACACCACCCTCGACTACGTGCTCACAGGCTCGTGGAGCCTCAAGGCGTACGAGGAGGCACAGCGCCTCGCAGGCCGCGCTCAGGTGCGCGTCGCAGCAGATGCACGCGCCCACTCGCACGACGGCAAGTCCTTCGACACGCTCCCCCCGCACAGCAGCTACGCCTTCTCCCCCGCCCCCGCGCTCATCTACTACTGCGACAACGAGACCGTCGACGGTGTGCAGTTCCCCCTGGCCCCTGCCCCCCTGTCCTTCCCCGCGCACTCGTCCCTGGCGCCCCTACCCCTGTGCTTGTCGCGGACTACTCCTCGAGCTTTCTCAGCCGCCCGATCCCGCACCTCGCAGAGCACGCCGTCGTGTTTGCGGGGGCGCAAAAGAACCTTGGCCCCGCGGGGCTCACGGTACTCATCGTGCGCCGGGACTGCCTCGCCGACGTCGACGCTGCCGCGGCCCTCGGTGGCCCACGCGTCCCACGCACCCTTGCGTGGGATACACTCGCGAAAAACACATCGCTGTACCACACACCCCCAGTGCTCGCGATCTATGTGCGGGGCTGGTGCTGCGGCGCAGTGGGGAGCGTGGGGGTGTACGCGCGGACGGGGAGCGCAATGAGAAGAAGATGGGGCTGGTGTACGCAGCACTGGCGCGTGGAGAGGAGAAGGGCGTATTCAAGGCGCGCGTGAGAGAGGGTGCACGCAGCTGGATGAATGTGGTGTTTGCGGTGCTTGGCGACGGCGGCGAGGCCCGGTTCGTCGCTGGCGCGGAGGAGAGAGGCATGAAGGGCCTCAAGGGGCACCGTTCAGTCGGGGGTGCGTTTTTAACCTTTACTTTCTTTGTGGTGAGGCTGATGTGCTGCAGGGATCCGCGTGTCGTTGTACAACGCGGTTTCGGAAGAAGAGGTGGGCCAGCTCGTGGCGTATATGGACGAGTTCGTCGCACGCGAGTGCCCGCTGCATAAAATACAAGTGACATTCATATTGTACAACGTCCAAAAATGTTCTTGGTGCCCAACCAGCGCTGTGTAAGACTGTTACCTGGCGCCAACTAAGTTCATCAAGCCGGATTTCATCTGAATCAGGCCGCTGTACAGCCAGTACGCTGGGTTTGGGCTGACAAGGAATCGGCAGCTTGTAGCTTGCCAGTGTCAAGAGTTCTGCCAGGATTGTTTCGACAGGTCAGACCCGGTTGGTAGAAACGAGCGACGTCCATTCCTCGATTCATCACCGGCGCAACCGGGTTCAACATCACCCGTCTTCGAGGCAGCACGAGCTCCTTTTGATTCTGATTTCATTTGCTCAGGACCTCGATCTTCTTGCCAGATAGCCTCGTCAAAACATGCCCCCCCGGCTGCCATCGCCCCGACCATTGGGAACGGATTTTGATGTGCCAAGACGATCAGATGCCACTGTCGTCCTGAGGTTCGAAGCTACGACGTGGATATTGCCAGCCTGGGCCTGGGCCATCGGAGGCCTTGAGGAGAGTTTTGTTACATCGTGAGATGCATTCCAGATGTCACTTCGAAATTTATGCTGAAAGGACATTAGCAGGCCATAGTCGACAGAAGAAAGCCACGATTTCGGAACTCGAATATCTGACTTGCCCTCCCTCTCGATTCGAACGCGTTCGCCTGTAAATGTTGGCGGGCGAATAGTAGTGTGCATACTTGCAGGCTTACGTGCATCCTGTTCAACGTTGTAGGGTGCAAAGCGGGCTGCGTTTTTCCTATCCAAATGCGAAAATGGGTGCTGCCAGTGGATAACCGCCAAAATCGAGCGTGCATACCATCATCATTTATCGCGGTCATATTTTTTCTCCGGGAAGGTATAGGCTACGCGGAGACGTGTCTGATGCCGGGACTGGACAGGGGCCGGAACGGGAGTGGTGCCCAGCTGGGGCCTGGACAGTTCGCCACGGTCCGCGGATTTTGATATTGCCGGTGAACCAATAGCGGTATTATCAGGGCATATAGCGTGGTATCATAATGGCCCCAATCTCTGTTTCTTCAGTCACATTCTAATATGAAAATTGACCTCTGGCATTATCGAGTGAATCGTTGGGACTACAACATTTATAGCATTCGCAAAGCCATTGTTCGGTATGATATGATAAAGACAACACAGTTCAGTAGTTTAAGCATCGAGGCACAAATCATCCAGCTTGTACCTCTGTCGTGACAATGCATGATATCCAACATAGCCAGCCAGCAGGCGGGTTATAGCCATTTCGCAGGCTTCGGGGTTGGTGGATTGGAGGACCTTGACAATCCTGCGACTCCCGTCAATAGAAATTTGGGTGAGGTGTCTTAGGGCTGTGATCTTGTCCCATCCCCGTATTTTCGCGAGTATGGACACATGATTATCATCTTCGCCCGCGAGTTCTTCTTTATAAAGGGAAAATATATCACTGAGATTGCATCAGTAAATTGAGGTTGTTTCGCCATTGGTGATACTCACTTGACATCCTCGAGATATTGTGTCATCTCGGGCAAGATTTGAATGTAATCCTGGAGCGGAATATTCGCAGGGAATACAAAGAGGGCATATGGCCGCGCGATGCCAGTCAGGTTTCTAAGATACCTGGGGTAATTCAGCGCGGCTTCATGAAGCTAATATCGTATACGGCTATGGTTTGGTTTTCGTCAAACTAGTTGAAACACATACCGGCATGCCTTGGTAGTCTTTCTCCAGCAGAAGAGCCGTCGTATAATCCAGGGTGCTTGTGACCACAAGGGCTGATATCGTAGGAGTGAAATGGTCCGCGCTCAAACGCAGGAGCTTGGCGTAACTGTCCAGGACAGGGTGTTGTTGGGGCTGGTTCGTGATAAACAACATGTTGAACGCTTTGACTGCCTCGATGTCCGCCTCGGCGACCTCATCGAAATACACGGTACATGTCATGTATAGCGAGATCCACAGCCGTGTCGACATTTCGAGGTGCGGATATATGGTCATGATGAGGGCGACTCCGGGTTGGAGTGCCTTTTGGAAGGTTTTGGAAAAGATATGCGCTTC